CACTCTTCTCTTCTGCAGACTAAATAACCCCAGTTCCCTCAGCCTCTCCTCGTAAGTCATGTGCCCCAGCCCCATAATCATTTTTGTTGCCCTCCGCTGGACTCTCTCCAGTTTGTCCACATCCCTTCTGTACTGGGGGGACCAAAACTGGACACAATACTCCAGATGTGGCCTCACCAGTGCCGAATACAGGGGAATAATTACTTCCCTCGATCTGCTGGCAATGCTCCTACTAATACAGTCCAATATGCTGTTGGCCTTCTTGACAACAAGGGCACACTGCTGACTCATATCCAGCTTCTTGTCCACTGTAATCCCCTGGTCCTTTTCTGCAGAACTGCTGCTTAGCCAGTTGGTCCCCAGCCTGTAGTCGTGCATGGGATTCTTCCTTCCTAAGTGTTGAACCTCATCAGATTTTTTTTTTGGCCCAATCCTCCAATTTGTCTAGGTCACTCTGGACACTATCCCTACCCTCCAGTGTATCTACCTCTCCCCCCAGCTTAGTGTCATCTGCGAACTTGCTGAAGGTGCAATTCATCCCATCATCCAGATCATTAGTAAAGATTTTGAACAAAACCAGCCCCAGGACCAACCCCTGGGGCACTCCGCTTGATACCAGCTGCCAACTAGACATTGAGCCATTGATCACTACCCGTTGAGCCCAACAATCTAGCCAGCTTTCTATCCACCTTATAGTCCATTCATCCAGTTCATACTACTTTTTTTTCTTGCTGGCAAGAATACTGTGGGAGACCGTATCAAATCTTTGCTAAAGTCAAGATATATCACATCCACCGCTTTCCCCATATACACAGAACCAGTTATCTCATCATAGAAGGCAATCAGGTTGGTCAGGCATGACTTGCCCTTGGTGAATCCATGTTGACTGTTCCTGATCACCTTCCTCTCCTCCAAGTGCTTCATAACTTCTCCAAGTGCAGTTATGTAACAAAAAAAATAAATCTACATTTGTAAGTTGCATTTTCATGATAAAGAGATTGCACTACAATACTTGTCTCAGGTGAACTGAAAAAATACTATTTCTTTTGTTTATCATTTTTACAGGGCAAATATTTGTAATAAAAAATAATATAAATTGAGCAGTGTACACTTTGTATTCTGTGTTGTAATTGAAATCAATATATTTGAAAATGTAGAAAAACATCCAAAATATTTAATAAATTTCAATTGGTATTCTATTGTTTGACAGTACGATAAAAATTGCAATTACTCGCGATTAATTTTTTTGTTAATCGCGTCAGTTAACTGCGATTAATTGACAGCCCTAATTAACTTCATTTAGATCCGTTTATTAGACTTCTGTATATTGCTTGCCTAATACCACGTTAAATTGAATTCTCTTATAGTTTCTCTCTCAATGGGGATTATTGTAGAAAAACTTAAAACTTCTTTTCTGTTCACTCCTTTAACCAGTATAAAGTAGACAAAAATATATCTTTGACTTGCCAAGAAGTGCAGCCTAACGATTGGACAAATTTTATCTGGAGCCTAAGGCTTAGTATTTTAAATAGACCCTCTGATCTCTTTTGTCATTGTAAAACAATGTTTGACTTCAGTGATCCATGTATTCACTGTAATCTCATATTCTGTGGAAGAATCTCTCAATATCAAGAATTACTCCTTTTCATGAACATTGTTGAATTCTATTAGTTAGTTTGATAAATCTGCGCTATTACATTTAAAAAGAAATAAAAGAGGGAGGCAATGAAAGGAAGTAAGGAAAAAGAATATTCAACCGCCAGGAAAATACTAGCCCATTTTAAATTAAGGCTGTTAAGCAGGAACATGTGTTGTCTTGTAAACTTGGGTCAGAGGAACCTGGGTCAACACTGGACAACTCACTGTTTAGAAGAATTGTGATACACCTCTACCCCTCTATAACGTGACCCGATATAACACGAATTCGGATATAACGCGGTAAAGCAGTGCTCCGGGGGGCGGGGCTGCGCACTCCCGTGGATCAAACCAAGTTCGATATAACGCGGTTTCATCTATAACGTGGTAAGATTTTTTTTTGGCTCCCGAGGACAGCGTTATATCGAGATAGAGGTGTACTTGCTACCAGTGTGTGGATGGTAAGGGAAAGGGTAACTCCTCCTTTACCTCTCATGGAGCTTCTCTCCTGAGACACTGCTCTGCCTTATCAGTCACCATCTCATTTTAGCATAATGTGAGTAGGTGAGTGGATTTGTTAGTTGATGCTTGCATCATGTGAAGTATAGGATGTGTGAAGAAGCATGGTCTGGTGTTTGAAGTACAGGACTCAGAATAATGAGATCTGAATTTTGCCATATAGTTGGTGTGTGTCATTTAACCTCTCTGCCTCAGTTAGAACAATTTTTTAAGTAGGAAATTATCTACCACATGTTGTATGAAGTTTCATACATTTATCATAGAATCATAGAACTGGAAGGGACCTCGAGAGGTCTAGTCCAATCCCCTGCACTCATGGCAGGACTAAGTATTATCTAAAACATTCCTGAAAGGTATTTTTCTAACCTGCTCTTAAAAATCTCCAATGATGGAGATTCCACAACCTCCCTAGGCAATTTATTCCAGTTCTTAACCACCCCTACAGTTAGGAAGTTTTTCCTAATGTCCAACCTAAACCTCTCTTGCTGCAATTTATGCCCATTTCTTCTTGGCCTATCCTTAGAGGTTAAGAAAAAAAAAATCATCTTCTCCTTGTAACAACCTTTTACATATTTGAAAACTATTATCATGTCCCCTCTCAGCCTTCTCTTTTCCATACTAAACAAACCCAATTTTTTCAGTCTTCCCTCATAGTTCATGTTTTCTAGACCTCTAATCATTTTTGTTGTTGTTCTCTGGACTCTCTCCAATTTGTCCACATCCTTCCTGCAATGTGGTGCCCAGAATTGGACACAATGCTCCAGTTGAGGCCTAATCAGTGCAGACTAGAGTGGAAGAATTACTTCTTGTGTCTTACTTACAACACTCCTGCTAATACATCCCAGAAGGATGTTTGCTTTTTTGCAACAGCGTTACACTGTTGACTCGTATTTAGCTTGTGGTCCCCTATGACCCCCAGATCCCTTTCCGCAGTACTCCTTTCTAGGCAGTCATTTCCAATTTTGTATGTGTGCCACTGATTGTTCCTTCCTAAATGGAGTACTTTCCATTTGTCCTTATTGAATTTCATCCTATTTGCTTCAGACCATTTCTCCAGTTTGTCCAGAGGTAATGTCATGTAATGCAATATCATATTTTTTCTGTAAACCTATATCCATGTGTACTACTTTTGCTACTCATTACTACTTTGTCTATGTCTGAATCCCTGGATACTGATCCTGCAAGAGCAAGATATTCCAACCACTGGTTTTTTTGTACCTTTTTTTGCTACACAATCTGTCGTATCACATGGTACACTCTCTACTGATTGTCCGCATAGGACTTCAATATGCTGAACATTTGTCTCCACGGTTGCAAAAACTAGCTCATGACCCAGTGAGCAAGTTTAGCAGTGGTATTTCAAGGGTTCTCAAACTTCATTGCACCGCGACGCCCTTTTGACAACAAAAATTACTACATGACCCCAGGAGGTGGGGCCAGAGCCTGAGCCCTGCCGTGGTGCCACTCCAGACAGGGGGGCCAAAGCCAAAATCCAATCCCCACCGCCTTGTGCAGGGGGGCCAAAGCAGAAGCCTGAGCCCCGCTGCTAGGGCTGAAGCACTTGGGCTTTGGCCCCGGGTGATGGGGCTTGGGCTTGGGCTTCGACCCTAGGCCCCAGCAAGTCTAACGCAGCCCTGGCGACCACCATTAAAACGGGGTTGTGACAAACTTTTGGCGCCCAACCCACAGTTTGAAAATGGCTGATAGACCACTGACTGCTACAGGTATTTAAGACCTTATCATCAGGGCCGGCTCCAGGCACCAGCCTGGCAAGCAGGTGCTTACGGCGGCCACTCCGGAGAGGGGCGGCACGTCCAGCTATTCGGCGGCAATTCGGCGGATGGTCCCTCACTCCTGCTCGGAGCGAAGGACCTCCCGCTGAATTGTCGCCGCAGATCGCGATCGCGGCTTTATTTATTTATTTATTTATTTATTTTGGCTGCTTGGGGCGGCCAAAACCCTGGAGCCGGCCCTGCTTATCATAGAACCCTATTCAAGGCTTATCTCATCACAGTGTTAAAAATACTTTGGGGAGAAAGTGAAGTAGTGGGGAGAATACAACTAGGTAAAGTTGATTGAACCCAAATGTGTGTTAACCATGGAGGAATGAGAATTGTAAGATGATGATTCTAAGTTGACATATGGGTATGTCTGTGTTAGCACCTTACCACTATAGGAATTAGGGTATTACACTGGCAAAGTGCTTTTAGTGTGGATGCAGCTATACTGGCAAAGCTGTTGTCTCTCCCCCCTCTCCCCCCTCCTCCCCCGTGAGAGAAAGACATTATACTGGTAAAAGTGCAGTTTTGCCAATATAGCTGTATGTACGCTACAGATTTCTGATGGCACAGCTGGAATTGCACTTCTTCATACCACTGACCGACATGACATAATGCCAGCAGCAATCTGTAGTGTAGACTTAGCCATAGAGAGTAGAAGATATTTGACAGTTGAGCGATAGTGAGAGAAAATGGGAAGAAGCACATGTCCATGAAAAATAAAAACATTCTCTGTAAAAATATAGATATAGAGAGAGTGTTTTTCTTATATCTACATATATAAAATGTTCTGTTCCTTTTGCTATGTATTGGTATTTCTGATTATGTAATTATTCACTTACTAATACAGTCCAGTATCTGAAAGCTCTATAGAGAGCGATTTGGGGAGAAAAATAGAACATAGCTTCCTTTTAGTTCTGCTGAAATAAAGTGGACGGAGGTTTTTTGGGGGATGGGGGAGGGCAGAATGGAAAAATATCTTTCTAAAACAGGGACCTATGGTATCTGTGAATCTACAAGCATCCTTTAAATGTGTTAATAGAGTTCCTTTTATCTTTTCTTTTTCAGAGCTAAATACCACAAATTAAAATACGGCACAGAATTGAATCAGGGAGATATGAAGCCTCCAAACTATGATTCTGGTAAGAATTTAAGAGTGAGGGAAATATGGTATAAAGTTCTCCTGTAATTTTAGCTACAGTTTGTTGAACAACTTAGTGGACACAAAGAGGATAGTAAAGATTGCTTAATGTTGCAAAAGACAAACGTTAGCCAATGCAGTTTGTTACACTGATGATATAGGTACTGTTTGTTTCTTCAATATCTGTAATTAGGCCATCAAATGAGTTGAAGTAAAAAATGGATGCTGCAGAATATATCTATTCTCTCCTCTTCAGATCAAAATTCAAGAAAGTTCTGGAGTCACAGAAAGATGTGGAAAACACATCTGGAGAATCTTATATTGGAAGAATAGAAGAATTGTTGTGCATTAACAATAACAGTGTAATGCAATAGCAATGAATTCAAAATACTTAGTACATCATTTCCTGATTCATGATCTTGTTTGGATTCTAAAAAAATTGAAACAGACGTGTGTTAGAGGTAAACTAAAGTTGGCGGTACATACTATAGAATTTTATAAAATTCCAATGACAACTGGAAAATAAATATATAACAAATGGTGAACACAAGTTTGGAACAGAACAGTTCTCCCATAGAGTGTATGTATGGATAGCTTTCTTGGGTTATCCCTCCAGAAGATGAATACTTCTCATAAAGAAATGGAGTGACTTTGAGCCACAAAAGAGGAGGAATTGGAATTCCTTTTGTTCTGATCAGCAAAATAAACCTTACCAAATGGACTTCCCCCAGGATCCAGATTATGCAACAAGTCATTGAGAGGAGGAAGGAATAAGCAGAAATTATTCCACAACTTTATTCTTCCATACAGCCAAAAAAAAAAGCCTATGTGGAAGTCATTTCTGCACACTTCACCCCTGCCATTCACTGTCCTGGTTAACTGAGTCCTGGGCAAATCCCTATTTTACTGGGTGCTGAAGATGGTCTAAAAACACTTACCTATCAAATTCTCAACACCCTTGTCCCTTCCCAAACTACACAAAATACAATGAAGCACAAACTGAGGCATCTTATTTCTCATCTCTTACAAAATAGTGCCACTCGGCTCTTGTACCCAGATTGGAAGAATACTGAATTCTGTTACATCCTACATGTAGCTGCTTAAAAGAATGGAGGTTCTTGCACCATATGGGATCTAAAGCTGGTTTTTCATATGCTTTCAGGATGGAGATTTTTCTATTATTTCTAGTCCATGCGAGTTGTTCTTGCTTTACTGCATAGATCCACGCACATCTGCATGCTTCTCTTGGACCAAGTCAGAAAAAATGTTGAGGCTTATTTCCAGTGACACATCCTGTTTGTCCCCTCTGTGGTACCTTGGAGGTTCTAATAATTCTGGTTATAATTCTCCTAATCAAGGGATTCAACTCTTATCTGTATTTAGGTGACATTCTCAAAGAGCTCTTCTGTGCCATTTGGCAAGCAGTCCAAGTTCTTTCAATCTCCTTCCTGAAGGATAATGGATCTGTCATCAATTCTGGGGGGAAGCAAAGATCTCTCTGAGATGTCTTTACTTCAACATTAATATAGACAACCTCCAGGTTTCCTGTCTGAAGAGGAGTTAGTATGAATTTACTTCAGTCTTGATGCATAAAATTCTCTTGGCTTTTATCTAGCACAGGTTTTGATAATTGTACGATGGATCCAGCTGTGTTCAGCTGTCTTCAGAAAAAATCAATGTCTAAATGACTAATTATTTCTCATTGCTAGTCCTGAGCAAGCTTTTTTTAGATTCAAAGTAATAATAGTACTTAACATTCATATGGCACTTTTATATTTTTATTTTTTATTTTTAAGACTGAGCTGACAGGGCAGCAGCACATTTGTTTATGCCATAATAGCTTTATCTGGGTTAAAGGAAAAACTTAGTTGTGGTTTTAAATTAAAGATTATTTTCAGGTGAAAATTTGATGAAAATATGTTGAACGACTATTAAAATAACCATGGCCGGAAGAAAACTGCCAATATTGTCTAAACAAAAACAGCTACATATTTTTTTCCTTCCCCACAAATCATGGAAATATGGCTGAAGTTTAAGTTATCTGTAAGTAGGCCTGACTGAGATATGTCTCCATGACCAAATCTTAGACGTTGGTTGGGTAAACTTTAAGGATTGATATCGTGTCAAATGCAGTGGGAACCAATAAGGTTTTTTTGTAATTATTTTGTTCATTTTATAAGAACCTAATTAACCTTAAAATATGTGATCACTATAGAAAACACTGGTACAGAATTCCAGATATATGCATATGACCGCATCCTTGTGAAGAAAAGGAGTTAAAACCCATCATCTAACTGGTTCCATATTGGGAAATAATGGTAATATGAAGGTGCTGATGACAAGTATAACTTGTTCTCAGAATACAGTAGTATGCTGATGGCAATCTTTATAGTATATTCTCATAGGTAATACTGCAGAGCTGCACATATTTCAAGAGCTTTAAAAATAAGACTGAAAAAACCTGATTTGAATGAAATCTTTTCCAGATGAAGGGAATGAAACAGAGGTTCAGCCCCAACAAAATAGTCAACTAATCTGGAAACAAGGGCGACAGCTGCTGAGACAGTAAGTGTCAAAGTTCAAACAAGGGAGCTAGATACAAACAGGATTGGAAATTGAATGTGTCACTGGGATTTTCTTAAAGATTTCCATTAGACTTTTCTCTTTCGTGAAAAGGGTGGCAGAGTTGGGTTAACTTTTCCTTTTGTCACTCTAACTTTTCCAAAGTTTGAGAAGTTTTGATAAGTTGCAGAATAGAAAAAGTAAAAAGTCAGAGGGGGGCAAACTACTCGCCACTTTTCATATGCTTTCAGTGGCAAAAAGGAAAAAAATGGAGAAAAGTAGTGGGGGGGTTAAAATTTGGTTTAAGAAAATTCACAAAAATCTAATGAAAAATTTAAAATCTTTTTCACAATTTGTTTTCAATTTCAAAGAGCTTCCAATCCAAAAGGACTAGAACACCACCGTCTGTGTTGTAGTTTTCAGTTCTTGACATATTTAACTTTTTAGAGCAAGAGTTGGCTCCATATAATAATCTTCCTGCTATTTATTGTGATTACTGCAATACATTTAAAGTAACAGCAGTGAGAACATACAATAGTAATCTACAGTGATTTTGAAATGCTGTAATGGAAGGTGCATGCACTTTGATGAAACGGGGTCAAAATTTATATATTTTATCCAAATGACTGTCCCCATAACTATGCAATTTCACCGCAGTTATCAGTTAACAACCCCTTGCTTTAAATGGTCTGGTTCTTGTTGCAAGGCAACGTCAGTGAAAGGTCCTCTATTGTGTAACCCAGTCTGTCCCCACATAAACCCTATACCCTATTTTGTCAGAATCAGGTTCCGGTGATTTTCAGGTCATGCTGCAAAGCTTACCTGTGTTCCATACTTTTTTGTAGGGGAGGCCTGAGTGGGCAGAACTGTGTAGAAGAAAAGTCTGGGTTTTTTTTTGTTTTTTTGGGGTTTTTTTTGAAAGGCCTTATAATTTTGGCACTGGACCAGTTTTTTTGTTGAATGGATTATTATTTAATATATTGTATGTGTATCCATAGTTTCTGATGGGCACATTTTAAATAAACAAATATTTTCTTGGCTACGACTCAATGGTTTGAGGACAAGTCTCCCTCTCTGAATCATAGATAAAGAAGATTGTGCTGTTATATACATGATTCAGCATCATATATTATAAAATTGATGCTTAAATTAAATACAGACTTAATTTTGCATAATTAACTTATGGGACTGCCAGAAATTCAGCACTGACTCTTTCTCCCACCAGACTGGCGGCAATGAGGATGTAATTGTTGTTGTAAATGCAAGGAATGGCTTGTATTAATAGGGGGAAAACAAATGCCCTAGTTTGTCATAGTGTGTTACTAAAATGATGTAATACATGACACTTACATCCTCAGAGACCTTTACAGTATTGACCAATTAATCCTCATAACACCCCTGTGAGGTCAGTAACATTAACTCTGTTTTACAGATGAGGAAAGAGACTGAAAGATTGACTCACCCAGCACCATGCAGCATATTATTGGTAGAGCCAGTTTTAGAACTCATGCATCCCAATCCCAGGCTCAGTTTATTAGATCGCACTTTCACCTCTTATGCACGCGAGCCAAATGCACGTTCTGCAGGAATATTTAAGATTAATAAAACGATTAAGTAAGACTAGATCTGTACAAAATACATTACATCGTAAAATCATATGTTTGTCCTATTATAGCTACAGTAACAGAATGGGAAGTTGACACAATAGGTGTTTACAGGCTTTGTCTAATGGTCATCTAAGGGACAAAATTTAAGTTTTACTTTTTTAAAGTTTGGTTTAGATTTCCATGTACTTCTTGACTAATAAAACGGGTTGTGGTATGTTGTATGTAACTGACATTTGTATGAATAAATTGCAGATATTTTAAGCTAAAGTCCTTTTCCATCTTTTTTGGTAAATGTAATGAATAACGTATTGTGTAAACACTGACTGCTAGGCTCTTTGATTTTCTCAGTGACTGTAGAGACTGGTACTGCAAGAGACGATCCCCTCTGCAGCTGGTACAAGACAATTTCTTAGCATGTTTCATTAGCGCAGTACCATACTTTGCTACACATTGTGCTGAAGATGAGTTTAGGGAGAAGCTTATAATTATTTAAATCAATAAATAAAAGGGTATATTATTGAGATCTGCATGAAAGACTAGCATGAGTTCTGTTCATACAGGTATCTGCAGGAGGTGGGTTACACTGACACTGTACTGGATGTGAAGTCAAAACGAGTGCGAGCTTTGTTGGGCCTCTCAAGTGATGCATCAGACAGGGAAAATGACAAAAATCAAGAATCAATGGTAAATGGTACAGAGGCTGAGATTAAAGAAAACGCAATGATTGGGTAAGTGCCTAAGACAACAAATGTTATCTTTGTGTATAAGTGCAAATTATTATTATTATTATAAATCTAGTTTATGTTCATTTGAAAACTTATACTTTTTAGTCTTCAAACTGACTGAATATTTCTAGCCAATTCTATTTTAAAATTTTAAAGGATGAATATGGAAGCCACGCTTCTCTAAGTGTATTGCTTCTTTATGAGAATCTTAATTTTATTTCCGTTGGAAGGTGACATTAGGAAATCAAACCTTCTGATTTGTGATACATCTGTTGTTAAATGCTTAAGAGAAAATACCAACTGCCAGGGTCAGCTTTTTCTTTGGTTTATTGGAAACCTTAATATAGATTAGAGGCCTCTGCATTCTGGTAGATAGTGCTTACTGTTATAACAGTATAATCTCTAGTAAGCAGAGGATTTTATTTATAGTATCTGAAAACATTTTGAACATGGATAAGTTTTAACTGTTATAACTCTCCAACTTTGTCACTAGTGTTTACATGGATAAATATGTGAAATTCTGGGTATACTCTCAGTGTAGCTTCCATATGCTCATGCCAATCCTTTTTTGATATATTTCTAATACTATTGCAAATGTGGTACAATGAGTCAAATTGAGCAAAGTTCAATGCTTATGCTTAGGCTTTGCCAAACTTAATTATTTTTAAATTTGATGGATAATACTGATTGATATTTAAGTATTGATTTTAATTTTTATTGATTTAAATTTTCACAGGTTTGGGAAATTATGGTGTGTTAGGCAATGTGGTGGTGGGGGGACAATTAATGACACTTGACATTGAGATTCAAAAAGTTAAAGCTTTATCACCATTAAAACACAAACTGTCAAGATTTTAGACTTAGATCAAACTTTAAATTCTCAAGCACAATTTTTCTTTCTTTGCCTATTTGTAAATTTCAATTATCCAGGAAAATATTTTTTCGCTGGTTAGTGTGTATACAGTGAAATTGACGTTTATCAACATTTATCAATAAAAATCTAATCCTTTCAAGTTGACTTCTGTTTTGTTTACTAAATAATATTTTGCTGAAAGTATTGTAAATAAACTTTTAAATCTTTTTCTTGCCACACTTACTACCATTAATATCTGAAGCTCACTTTAGGTGTTCAGCAAAATTATTCCTTGGTTCTTGACTGAAATACTGTAGCTTTGAAGAGCTTAAACTAATAAAAAGGATGCTGAATCATTTTAATTAAAAATGTGTGACTGAGCTCTGTACTCCCATAGGTAGTATTATCACCAACAAGCAGTAGGCCCTTGTTTGTCTAGGATTGGCCTCTTGTTTCACAAGCAGGTGTGGTTTAAATGTAGCAGAGGTAGTGTCCTTTTCTTCTGAAGTATAACTGCTTTATGTGGCACCTAATCGCCAAAGGGAGTTCACAATAATCCCAGCCAGTAGATAATTGTACTGGCCTCAGGCATGTGTGCAGAGAAGTTACTTAATTAACTCATTTTCATTCTGTAATTAAAATTATTCTGTTAAATGAGGAATTAGGACATATGAGGGGACCCCAACCTGTTAAATTATTTTGTACTTCTAAATAGTTAGTAAGCCTTGCCCTGAGGAGGACATCCTCTGGTTGGCAAGGGCTGCTGCTGCTGGGGCACCTTTTAAAGTCAGCCTTGCTGCTCTGAGGTAGTAACCTAATGGAATTGACTATTTGTTGTAGAAAACTGATATTGGGTTTGGCAGATACATTATTCTCCCTTTCTATATTTATCCTCTTTATTTCTCTCCCACTCTCTCCTATGATAGTTTTTCATTTTTGTTCCAGCCTTGAAGAAATAGTGAGTTCTGACGGCATATGTAGCTTTCAGTTTGGGAGGTGTGAATGATTTGTTTGAGGTAAAGTGGGAGTTAAGCTCCCTCTCCCTCCTTTTGTTCCACTTGACATTAGTGGAGTGTCATTTTCTATTAGTTTGAATGGAAGAGAGCTCCAGATAGGGAGATATGTAATGGGTAAATTGGATTGAATGATGGAGCTGAGCTAGTACATTTAAAGATACCTCTTAGGAAGACACTCATTAGAGGCCTTAGAGTTGGTGGCACCAGATACTTAGTTTTGCCTCCTTCAGCAACTCAATTCTCCTTTTTGAGAACTATGCATGTAGTGGGGGTGTAACTGTTCCTTCAGATTTCTTCTCCATAAGCTTTGACCTTACAGAGCTAGGTCTGTTTTGAATAAGGATAGAGACACAAGGTGGGTGAGGTAATATCTTTTATTGGACCAACTTCTATTGGTAGAAGAGACAAGCTTTTCAGGTCACCCAAAGAGTAGCTCTGTGTAGCTCAAAAGCTTGTCTCTTTCACCAACAGAGGTTGTCTCTCTAATACCTGGGACCAGCACAGCTACAAGAAAAACTTGAATAAGGTTAACATTTGCATTTGCAGGCTATTTCTGGCTGTGAGTGTTCAGTGATCCACCAATTATCTGTCATTCTAGAAGACTTGTAGTTGCAGGATTATGGTATTGCATGTGCAATCTGAGAAATTGCGATGTTCTCATCTCACTTGTAATGCACAGGGTCACTAACTGCTGAGAAGAGTTGAGTTGAGCATCTGGGTGTTTCATGTGTGTGGAACATGACAAATGTTTATGGTTCAGTTTGTGTATAGACCCTCAGTTATATGAGGATTTCATGGTGGAGTACTCTGAGCTTGTTTCTGCATTCATCAAATTACTCTGTGTTTGCAGATGTCAGCTCAGACCTCTGGTTTGCCTCTTCTTAGAAGTGAAGGATGTCAGGGTTTTACCAAAGGATCGAGAAGAACTCTTGCAGGGCAGAGTGTATGACTAGCCACCTGTGAATATTTTGGATTGTCGGGTATATGTGCATAGGAGATCAACCATCATATCATATATTTCAGTGCAGGAGGTATTCCATGCTTCTCTCCCTTTATTTCAGTCCTGATGGGCTGCACGGCCTGTCTGCTTCCTCAACCTCTTGAAGAGCACCAGTGCTGAGTACGTGATTGAGATTAAGGGCAAGCAGGATGAGCCAAGTCCTAGTCAGAATATTTGTTCAGCCTTCAGAGACTGGATACTGTCAATCCCTACACCCAAGCAAATCAGCCTCTCAGAGTATTTCTACACTGCAATTAAAAACCTGCGGCTGGCCCGTGCCAGCTGACTTGGGCTAAGGGGCTATTTAATTTTGTGTAGATGTTTAGGCTTGGGCTGGAGCCTGGGTTCTAGGACCCTGAGGGGTGGGAGGGTCCCAAACTCGAACACTGCAATTAAATAGCCCCTTAATTCGAGTCAGCTGGGACAGGCCAGCTGCGAGTGTGTAATTGCAGTGTCGACATACGCTCAGAAACACTTCTGCCTAAATTGTGGGAAGAACTGGGGCAAAGTTTAGATGGCCCAGCTCACTCTCTAGTGGCCCAGAGGAAAGAGTACCCAGAGTGAGGCACCCCATTAGTCCCAGACAGTTTACTTCCCCAAGAGGGGGAAAGAATAGGGGACTTCAATCAGCTGCACCTCCTCCCCGCATCCATGGTGTATGGAGAGCTGGTGGAAGGTTATGAAGCCAGAATAAGCTTGTGATTGGGGGCAGGAGGGAGACAATGCCTGAAGGCATATGAGGTGGTAGTGGTAGTAGTAGAGAAAGAAGTGATTGGAGGGTGCTGTGATAGAGGGTATGCGGAAGAAGAGCAAAAGGAAATGACAGAGAAGAAGAAAAGAGAAAAATTGATGGGAACTCTAAGACAGATTGAGAAGGGATGGAAAAGAACATGGGTGAAGGAGGTAAAGACCACAAACTAGGGAAAAAGAGGGATTTTGAAAGGCACAGAAGGAAAGAAAGGAAACATGCTACAGTTTGAGGGGAAATGATGCCCAGATCTCAGAGTAAAAGAAGGGGAAAGCACAGAGGACACACTAATTTATATTAAAAAAAAATCTTTAAAACAATGTAACAATATAGAAATTTACAGAAAGAGCAGATTGGCCAAAGTGACTACCACAGTATGTGCAGATGTAATGTTGGGAGGAAATCTCAAGAGTTAAACACTTAAAGCTACAGTATGGTCATTACTTAGATTTTAAAAAATGGAAAATGTGTCTTTTATTATTATTGGAATGTAAGTTGTTAGTAATAAGCTAATACCATTTCAGTTTGTATTAAATTAATACTGTAGGAAAGGTAGTACAAAACTGGAGGACGCCAAGTGAAGACCTGTTAGCCAGTGAAATGTAGACCTTCAATACAGTAAAATAAGATGCGATGCTAAAGGGGCTTCTGTAATGTGATAACTTATAACTTTTCTCAGGACTTGAACAGGTCTAGGCTACCTTCCTATTATGTAATAATGTTACAGTAAAAGTACACATATTAACTGATTTGTAATCAAGGTGGATAAAAATCCATTTTTTATGAAAAGATAGAATTATTAATTTTTTTTAAATGATCTTTTTTTAAAATAAATCTGCTTAAAGGAAATCTGAATTTAATACAAAATATGTTGAGGCCAAAACTTACTATATTCTCTTAAAACATCTAAATAAAAAATAAACGTGCTGAATCCATGAGCCTCTATCAAAAACTGAGTTAAAGGCTGCTTTTCTATATAAAGAAAGATGTCCCCCTGTTTCTAGCTTTTGAGGTCAAGCTTTATTAATATGGCACAATAAGTCAGCCTAAGTAACTCATTTTGAAGAGTCTTAGGCAAGTAGGGAATTAAGTTCCAGTCATTTTCACTTAAGCATATTGGAAAATTTTCCTAGGCTGACCTGAAATAATCAGTTTAATTCACTGATTGCAGTTAGTCCATCTGTTTAATATATCATTTAAATGTAAATGTGAAATGTGTTAAATTTATATATCCAAAACATTTAAGGTTGTTCTGGTTAATAAAAATAAATTTTATGTGCTGTTTTGTGTGTTTAAATTCCAATTATCATCCTAATACAGCTTGACACAAATCATGACCAAAAAGTTAATTATCCCATAAAGGAAAAGAACAGCTTGGATAAACAC